ATACTCTTCTTTTTAAAAAAAATCTTTTTACAAAATGAACCAACACAAAGAGATCTTGGGTAGATAATAAATATGAAACTAAATTTAAATCATACTCCAAACCTCTCTAAACTAAAAAGAAATCAGGTTTGAATTTGAACACTATTACTAAGTTTGTTTACTAAATATTTAGCCAACATGCAAAGCATGCAACACATTTTGTGTTTTAGTTGGCTCAAGGTAGACAACGTTAGCTTGCTGGCTAACACCGACCAGCTAACGTTATCAGTTGCAAAATACTATCTCTTGCCACATTATTTCACCAGCTAACGCAATCCATAATTACTAGCGGAGGTATTATGTCAAAGTGTTAATTTTAACCTGCAAGAAATTAAGTAACGTTAACAGTTTTCAGTGATGCTGAGATAAACAATGGTAAACTTTAATGATATAGCAATGTAAATTACAATGATACGTACATGAAATGAACACAATATCATCCAGACCAACCAACTGAATACCGCTGGCCTCTAGTTTCAAGTGTGTAGGAGAACTTACGGTGGCTGCGAAACTTCAGTGCAAAAAAAAACAGCAGATGGTCCTCTCTAGAACCAGTATTTGGTTTGTCTGCTCTGGGCTTCTGCAGAACAAGGTGGTTCAACATGGCAGACTCTGTAGAAGAGGAACTGCTCCCTATATAAAGGGCTCATTCTAAGGTAACGATAATGCAACATTTCTTATTTTCAGGTGATACACTAATGAAAACATACTTGTGAATGCCATTTTCTATGAATGGAATCCCCTTAATCTTACACAATGAACTCTTGAATAAAGATGCGCTGTAATAAAGCCAACACTTCATAACAAAAAAGGTACTAATTATCATCCATCAGAAATGTCGGATTAAAAATGCTTCAATGCCTAATATATGGTTTTCCACCAGTGTTTCTGACAAGTTTATGTTTTGAGAGAGGGGACCCAGATGTATTATAGCTAATAGTCACACTGGACCGTGGCTGGAGTTAATCTGTGCAGTGATGAGGACAGGGTCTCTGCTGGTCACACAATCTTGTGGGAAGGAGGCCATGAAATCACATTTTCACCAAAGTGGAAGCTATTGTTGTCTGAAAACTCTTGTGCTGTGCAATTCCTTTCAGAAGTGACTCGAACATTCTTGAAATATTAATAGGTGACGTTAGCTCTTAAGTGCTTGTAATCTTTCCCATCCAGTGACTGATCAAAGCAGACGGCCTAGTTTTGGTGTGTCGTTCAACAAAGATTTGCCATAAACAGGACAGGGGAGGCAGTTTGGGTCATCATCAACGGAGCAGTGCAAAAAAAAAAAACCTCAACTAACTTCCCCTAAGAACTAAGACATTAAACACAAAGTGTACAGTAAAAAGACAAAGACACACCACAAGCTTTTTAACCCTTTGCTTCTTTCTTTACAAAATGTTGCTGTAAAGGAACAAGTGTTGAGACTATTCATACTTTAGAATAACAATCAACTTAAACGATAATCTATTGTAGACAATCTATTTCAAATCAGCCCATTTTTCAATGCAGATTTATGTTTCCATCATCTTTCTTCTCATTTCTAAGAACTGAGACACTTCCCCCCCATTCCCCTGATCAACCCCAGGCAGCCAAAACAAATATCATAAATAATGAAAAATAGCCTGACTGTACTGAAAAATAAATCCCATGTTTAATTTTAAGTTAATGACAACATTCAGCCAGAGAGCAATAATGTAGGACACACAACAGTGATGTTTGCGTGATTCACCTGACCATATGAGCCAATTTCCAAATGCTAACACAACCATTGAACATTTTCAAAAGCCTGAGGTATTTATCAGAAATTTCCAAACCTGAACATCTTAATGAATACCCTGAAATCCTGCAAGGTGTTTTCAGTAAACTCTTCACAGCATGCTCATGTTTGCCAGTCTGGCTTGTGTGTGATTCAATCTGTCAAAGAATAGCAAAGGGATGAGAGAGGCAAACAATCAAACAAGGCCAACTTCCTCAGAAAGCTCCCCGCTGTTATGGAGACAGTTTAAATTGCGCTTGTGACCAGATGAGGTTTTCATCTGAGCAAAAAAGATTGCAAAGGTTGAATTTAGTTCTCAATTTATATTAAAAGCTTCAAGGAAATTATGATTTTGTGTGTCCTACAAGCTGAAATTCAAAGTAGTCTGTCAAGTATTTACTTATTTTGCATCTCATCATTTTGCATTGTGGTAAGTTATTGTGTTTGTGCTGGCTGCACAAATTCAGCCTGTCAGGACATAGAGTTTTCCTGTTCTTAATGGAATGATGCTAGCTGTCATGTCTGGGTGCCTTTTGTGCAGGGAAGAGATGGGACTTTACTGCTGCATCTCTAATGCAAATATGTGGTCTCTCTCCCCACTCCACCAAGAAAGCAGGTCTCACACATTAGTTTCTGTAAACAGGCTACTAGTTTTGGTACTGTGATCCATTTAACAACATTATTAAGTGAAGCACCACAGCATTACATTGCCAAGACAGCACACCAGTTCTTCACTGGTTACCCCAGCTCTCACCAGCGCTTTGTAGGCCCAGAAAGCTCATAATTATAAGGGTGTTGTCTGTCAAGTCATATGAATATGTATTTTCTATGTCGTCTCTGCCAAAAGTAGCACTGGGATTCATTTTCCTAATTGTAAAACTTGATGACCCCTTTATCAAGTCATGGACATGAAAACTATCTTACAAAAATGAGTCCAGATGTCAGTGTAGTGTAGCCTATATATAGATATTTTGAAAATCCAGTTTCACAAAAAGAAATTCTACAGACTAATTCAATTTGGATGCAAAACTAAACCTTCCTCTTTAGAAGTTGTAAAACATCAGTACACTCTAACCAAAGTGCTTGTCAGATTGTCAAACAAATATCATCACATCACAAATAACATCAACCCAAACCTACATTAACAAGTCTAGGTACTGATCTATGCAGTGACACTTTAACAGACAGATCAGACAGAGATACAGGATCCAAACGAGGGTGCTGGGAGAAGAGGATTCTATTAAACAAGCTTACTTCCAGTGTAATCCCTCCACTGCATTGTTATTCACACTTACTCAAAGACAAAGATGTGGGATTGGATTTGTTAGAGAGAGGTGTAACAGCTTTGCCCTTGCTCATTCACTGCACAGCAGATAAACTCAGATCATCCAGCAGGATTGAGGCACCACTAATCCCGGCTCGCCTCAGACGGAGCGTCTGGGATTCGGTGGAAGTGCTATTGTTTGCCCAGATCCATTAAACTCCCTGTCAGCTGTTCAACGATCGCTGGTAGAGTGGGGAGTACGTACGAGCCGTCGCCTTGGCTGCAGTACACATGCGTGTCTGGGATGCCAGCTGTGATCGGCGCGATTTATGGAGAGGAAAGCATGAGGCGTGGAAAAGCAAGCAAAGTGGAGAGGGAGGCGATAAACAGATAAACAACAAAAGGAAGACAGAGACAGATGGAGTTGGACAATGTGTGCATAATGGAGTGTGGTGGTGACTATGCAAGTAGATGGAAAGGTCATATGTTGAGTTATTTTCCTGCAGAACGGCTGTGCAGAAGATCATGCATTTAAGGTAGATAGTTTATGTATGCACACAGGACTGAGAGTTGAAGTACTTGTTTTGTCTGCGTTTTGGCTTCTGAGGTCAGCAGGTGGGCGACAGATACCACATCTCCTACCAAAAAACATTAGTCATCCTGCAGGCTTAGGTCTCAGAACACACTGATCTAACACCCATGACACAAAGACCTTTCATGACATGACTCATACACTCAGAGTTAAATGTCATTAGAATTAGCCACAGCTCCAGTGAGTCCAGCTGAACGTTTGTGGATGACCATGACAATAAATGAAAGTAAAAACACACTCTGGCTGCATACAGCATGCAACGAAAGGTCTAACAGGTCAGATCCAAGCCTTTCCTAATGTCATGATTGATTCACTTCAGACATTCACTTCACATGTATACTCATTCTAGTGACATATACAAAAGCTAAGCTAAATTAACTTGGAATGATATTTTGACACAATAATATGCTAATTAATTAACATATAAATAAATAAAACATTATTTATATAGCAAATATCTTAACAATGTTACAAAGTGCAATGTGCGTTGCAAAAAGAAATAAACTTGACAAGCCAGGCAAAAAGCTAGGGATGATCATTTTCACTATAGATTAATCTGCAGATCGTTTTCTTCATTAATTAAATCAATTACTCATTTGGTTGCAAAACAAGTTAAAAATATCCATGACAGTTTCCCAGATTCTAAGGTAAAGTCTTCAACGGTCTTGTTTTATCTGACCAACACAATGATGGCAAACAGAGAAAATGCTAATGCTTTCAGCTCCAAAGAAAAGCTTTTCCTGTATGTTACTGTGATATAACCATTATGTTGAAGTCATAATGCAGAGAACTATATGAGTACTAATTTTGATTAAATCAAACTTTAACATCATGCCAGACCACAGCCAGATCAATAATGACTCTAAAATCTAGTGCACTGGGTACAACAACCCGAAACAAGTTTTGTAAGTTATTTCTTTTAGAACTTGTTAAGGAAATGTATAAAGGTAGCTTGTCCTGGATGTCTGCTTTCACCATTAGAAATGCAAGATATTAGGGACACTGCCAAATTACATGAGGAACACTTATGTATAACAGATATTATCCCTCATTTAAGTGCATATTAATCACAAAGATTTTTAGAATAAAAGCATAGAAGACGTTAAGTGAAACTTACGGAGGAGCTACTGAACCTGGACTACTGAAACTAATGGAGTGTAAAAGAACCGGGGGAGCAGTTTTACTCCATTTGGCAATATTAGCCTACCTTAATCTGAATGTATTTTTTATGTGGACGCCAGTTTGAATTTTGTCCTTTCACAGCGGAGTGTAATTCATCTAAAATCATCTAAAGTATGGAGACTCATCTCCTCTGCGCCCCGCCGCGACCAGACCCCACCGGACACACTCACCGAACTTTTGCGGCCACGGAAGATATCGCATCACTCCTCAGATTCTTCCTTTTGGACACCGCAGTTCCCATGCTGAAGTGGAAACGACCCAGGAGAGCAAACGCAGACCATTCCACAGACTGATCGGCGAGGGAAACAAACAGGAGAGAAAATCACAACACGGGGAAATGAAAAGCACCCGTACCCAACGACTGACTATTATTATTTCATATTTATCATTATCATTTCAGTGGATAAAACTGCTGAATGTTCCAGAAAGATGCAGGCTGAGAGCAGCAGCGCTGCTGGAGGATGAACGGAGTGTGCTGCTCTGCGCTCTGCTCCGCGCTCCTCATGCAACTGAAGCTTCCAGGAAGGAAACTGAGACCATAAAAGGAAGGCCAGCCCGTGTGTCTCCTGCAAGGCCAGGACAGCTGGGAGGCTATAGCAGGGGAAGATAAATAGGTAGGTTCATTACGGGTGTATGGATACCAGGAGGAGTGGACACTTGAGTCCATGAGAAGGCCTAATCTTGCAATTTATTATCAGTTATCAGGCAAAACAATGCTGCAAAACAATGACATTCATCTGGACGCTAGGGGGCTAGTAAGTAAATGTAGGCCTACAAGTACATTTTACTTTTCTAAATTTTTATGACATCAAACCCCATTTTTGATACTATTTATGGTCGGCCTGTTTTTCTGCTATTCAATGTATTCCGATCAGAAATGATCATATAGGAGTTTTTATTGGGAGCGGCAGAGTCCACCATTCCCGCACTGGATTTAGGTTGCCTAACTTAACAGGAAGGGTCACAGAAAGCGATGCAACATATAATTCATCTAAATTTGATCTCATCGATAGCAGCCTCACGTTTACTTTTCACTGCTAATTTAAACACAACATCCTTCTGCTGGTGCTTTTGCATTAAACTGGTCAAGCACAGTTTATTGTAAAGCATCCACAGGAAACATAGTATAGGCTACATGAGCTTTCATCAAATATCTGTCAACAGAACAAGACAACTGTTGACTATTTTTCAGTCAGCAGATTAATTTTTGCAATGAAGCAATTGAACTTTATTAACTTTATTCTCCCACAAAGTGAAGAATATGGCTTGGGCTTCTACCCGTACTGCAGCCGTAAAAAGGAAACAAACTCCTCCCAGAGGGCAATAGCTAGTACTTAGTGTGTAGGACATGGGATGAATCAGTAACTACTGTAATGGATGGCAGGGTAGTCTGTTCGTAGGTAGACTGCAAAGATGGGTGGTGAAAGAAATCCTGCACCATCTTTGAATTAACATGGTTTGTATTGACTGAGATGTTTGCGTTTCATCAAATGGATGTCCACAACCTAAATGTAATTCATTACAAGAATATGATCACATTAGAAACATAGACAAAAACCAGACAATCACACTAGTTTAATAGGCCAGTAATTACACTTACAACAACAATGATTTCATTCATACTTTCAGCACTATTTCTAATAGCAGATGATATCAGCAGCAGACTTTGCTGGGGACATCTGGGGACAGCATCGCAGATTTATAAATACAACATACAAAAGGATAATTTGACTTCAATTTCCATTGTGTCCCTGAGACACTTAACCCCTAGTTGCTCCAGAGGCGTGCAACCTCTGACATGTATAGCAATTGTAAATCGCTTTGGATAAAAGCGTCAGCTAAATGAATAAATGTAAATGTAAATTTCCAATCCCATGAAGGGGTCTATTGATCTGAGAGTCATAATGAAGAATATTTTTTTCCTCTGTGGAGAAACAAAATCAATTCCACATCAATATTCAATCAAAGAGAAAAAAAAAGGAAAAACAACACTTCCTTTTAGCCTTAACATAGCCAAACCTCATTGTGATTATGAAAGCAAGTGTAACACACATAGTACACAGTACAGGCTACATCGTACACACATAGGGTAGCCAACTGTCCCATATTAGCCGGGATGTCCCTTATTTTAGTTCTAATTGATTTGTCCCATACGTGACCTCTCTTGTTCTGTTTTTGACTACCATCTAACCACTGACTGACAGCGGCAGTGCTGATCACGACACTTGAAAATGGTCACCGACACCTGTCATCATCCAATCACAGCAATCCCTCACGCGCCTCAGTAGGCCTAGGCCTATACGATGCCAGACTTATTTGCCAAACCGTGTCCTAGAATGTCAGAGCTAATCAGATGCGTGGGCACAGAGGACCTGGACACAACTGGCAGTGTGAAAAATTCTCTCTGCGATAAGATTTTCCCGCTCGAACATATACCACCTCCACACATCATGAAGAGGTCAGCCAGGTCACAAAAAGTGACTGACACAAACTGAAAAATAAACCCAAAAGGTATAGCAGTGCAAGAATAGTATAACCAGGGTGAATTGGAGCAGGGTACAACTGTGAAACCTTCCCTCCAAAAAAGTTTTAGGATCCTAAAGAATTCAGTCAGCAACTCCCACGAACCTCTGCTCAATAGCAGCAAGCTATAGCAACTGTATGATGAGAATAGAGCAGAGGAGAGTACCATATCTCTCATCACAGCCATGGAAATAAGATCTGTCTCACTGGATTAAACTTCAGAGACTTCATACCTTATCATTGAAGAGAAACAGGAGGCCTACAGGATATGGGGATGGATGGTGAGAAAGAGTTCTGTCAGAGGATTTACATCACATAGACCTACTGTATGCTTTCGTAGACTGCCATACGTTGACTTCATACCCAAACTGCAGTCAGCAGAGACCATTTAATTCAGTTCACTAATATTTTCATCTTCGAATATTTTCTTAAAGACTCACATAAGCTCAGTTTAATAAAACAAAAAACAGCAGATCCATGCTAGTCTAGCTGGCCACCCTGCATTGCATCACTGTTGGTTTAGAAACAGTTGTTTCACATTTGCTTTGTACCATTGTACTTTATTTCTTGCTGGCTAAAATCAACACTTTGATTTAATACTGGTACCAGCATTGTGGTACCGGTACCATTCATTTATTGCAAGGATAATGTTAGCAACAGGTCGGCATTAGCCGGTGTCGTACTGAGAGCATTTTTTGGTGTAAGCATTTTGTTAGCTGAGGTGCTGTTGCTGTGTGAACAGTTCAGAATCAGAAGGCAAGAGGTTTGGGAGTGTGCATGAACGTCACATCCTACATAAACCAATGGATTTCGTGAAAAATCCAACTTGATTTCTTCACATAGGAAGCATGCATAGTGGCTCTTCCAAGCAATCGAGAAAGCAGGCGAATGGTTAATTTTCATGTGAGGTTACAAATAGTTTACAAATCAGGATCAATTTCATAAAACAAAAAATACATATAGCCCCTTTAAGTTGAAAGCTAGCAAGTAGCTTGCTCGTTAGCAAAACTAGCTAAATGTAGCTATTCTCCCATCCAGCACTGCATCAATTTTTCTTTGCTAGTTTTTCAGAAAATGCATTTCTCAAACAAGTTTGCATAAAGATAAACTTTGAGCTTTCATGTCTTCATGTTGATTGTCAGTATGTCATCATCATCTATCCCACAATGCTCTGATAGGTGATTCATATAGAAAATTAATAGGGTCCAAATTAGCTTGTCACACCGCATTCAGTGGGCCTACATTGTTAAGAGTTTTTGTGTGGATGTAACAAAATCCTGCTACTTCCGTCTTTTCTTCTGAGACACAAAAGTCGTAAATTACAAGATGACAAAAGGGTCCTTGTAATATAAATTCAACTATGTTGTTTTTAGGTATTTCAAAAACCATTGGTGTCTTTTTCCCCCATGAGTCATATAAAAACAATGCATGTTTTTAAAAAATCAGACTACAACTGTTAAAAGATCAATTAAGACTCGAATGGTGAAAACATTGTCTTTTATTCATGTCAAGGGTTTGGGCCACTTTGGAAGCTGCTGATTACAAATGTATCTGTTTTATTTGAATAATAAATGATTATAGTGCAGTGCTGTAGGTTTGAGCTTACTGCATCAGATTTCCAGTCACAGCTGAAGAGGTTAGACAATGCTGCTGCCAGATAGCAAACAAGATATAGATGTAGACCCCAAACCCACAAAGTCAATTGGGGAGAGAGGTTGTGCACCCCTATAAATAATGCCAATACTAAGTGAACCCCTCACTGGATGTATGCATCCGAGAGACCACAACCTTCAACCACCCATCCATCACCCCACTGTTTCCTCACTCTCCCGTGCCCTCCTCCTTCGTTATCTCACCTTCTATCTCATCTTTGCTCCTCCCTCCCCTAGATTCTCCTCGTACTCCTTCTTCTCCGGCACGTGAGGCCAGTCGGGCAACAGTAAGCAGAGCACGTTACCAAATCGACTGTATGAATACCTAAGCAGTGTGCATAGTGACAGTTCTTTACTACCCAGGCACACACAAATTCACACACAAACACACTATCTGCATTTGTATGTATGCTTCCACACACAAAATATATATATGCACAACCAATATATATATATTTATATATACATATATACATATACATGCATGTTTCCTCTACATGCGACACACTCTTTTTATATATGCAAGATGAGGTGTCTCATGTAGCAGAAACTCAGCAGAGACAGTGAAGGATTTAGCGCATGTGGTTGTAGCTGCAGCTTGAATCCTAGACACCTCAGAAACAGTTTCACAAAACGCAGCATGTTTATATTCCAACAAGAAACATGTAACCACAAAACGCATGTCCAATGTGGAGTCAAAAATTACAAGGAAACTCCTTGCTTCCTTTGAATGCCTAATCAAAGTGCGACGCCTATCATGGCAATCATGATTTAGCTGTGGAGTGCACTTTTCAAAGGTTGATAAATGGCAGGGTAATACTGCTTATCCGCTGTTACTGATGTAGTATATACCACCCACATGCAGGTAGAGTAATGAGGAGAGGGGATTGAAGCAGACAGACTGGCAGACTGGAGACAATTTATATAGAGAAATGCAGATATCCAGGGATGGAGAGGAGAGAAAACAACGCCTGAAGCACTTTATAGCCAGAGGTTGAACCTCCCAGGGAGGTGGCATACTTTCAGCCTCGATTGGCAGACCCTCATCTAAACATTGCCCACGCTACAACCTAAAGGATCTGATTGAGAGAGGTTGTTGTGGGCAGTAAACATCCCAGAGGCTCGAAAGCCAATTTTCCAGACAGTGTAGCCTGAAAGCCAGGTGTCATCAGAGTCTTTGTGGGGCTTCTGCCTGCCACATCTGGGCTGTATGAAGGTTCTCACTCTAAAATAAATTCATGCCTTCTGGTAAATCAGTCAGATACTATAGATCAAAGCTATTAAAATAAATCTGCATGCATTATAAATCGAACTAAAATA